TTTCACACCATGTACAAGTTCTGTTTCATATCAAACCCTGTGTAAAAGCTTTTCAACAAAATAAAAATGTTTTGAAATATCTCCTAGTCCGTTTAAGCATTATTCAACATGCTACAGAATCTTGAGTTCATATTTAGTTCAATGTGAGAAGAACTGACCTTTTGATAGTTTTGTTGTTTTAAGCTGTATGTTTATAGTTAATATGCTCATTGGTGGGATATTATTATGTTGTTTAATATTATTTATTTTGTAAAACTAGAGTTGCCAGAAAGCCAGCATCCCTTGATAATAAAAATAAAATCAAGCATAAGCTGAAACTACATTTTATAGATTAAAATAAACATTAACTTTGATTCATTCTTTTGTTAAACGTATTATGGACAAATGCTGTGTCAAATGAAACATTGAAACTATTTGTGTAACTGGTTGGGAATTAGAAATCTGGGGCTTGACAATGGGCATTCTTTGGAATAGAATAATCAAGGTTTAAATGTTTTTAAGCAGTAAAATCAACAGAATGCTAAAGTATCCTTCAGTGTAATTCAATTTGCAGTGGTCTTTTCTCTGATGGTTTTGGACAAACTGACAAGAATTATTACAAACACTCACTGGCCACTTTATTAGTTTCAACATGCTGGGTACTAGAAGCATACCTCTGAGTAGGACACGATGGTATCATTTATCGGCTGCACATCCATGAACTAAAATTGTTCCACCACATCCTAAAGGTGCTCTATTGGATTGAGATCTGGTGACTATGGAAGTCATTTAAGTAGAGTGAACTCATTGTCATTTTCAAGAAACTAGTTTTCGATGATTTAGGCTTTATGATATGGCAAGTTATTCTGCTGGATGTGGCCATTGCACGGTGGTCATAAAGGGAAGGTTGTGGTCAGTAACAATACTCCGGTATTGGCTGTGGCATTGACATGATGCTTTATTGGTACTACTTGTGCCTGAACTATTTATACAAGGCAGGATGGGTCCATGCTTTCATGTTGTTGGCACCAATTTCTGGTCCTACCTTCCGAATCCGGCAGCAGAAATTTAGACTCAACAGGCCAAACATTTTTCCAGTCCTCTATTGTGCAATTTTGGTGAGCCTGTGTGAAATATAGCTTCAATTTCCTGTTCTTAACTGACAGGAGTTGCACCCGGTGTGGTCTTCTGCTGCTCTAGCCCATCCACCTCAAGGCTTGACGTGTAGTTGACTGGTTTTCATGAGTGATGTATTATAGACACACAAGCAACAGTAAAAAATAAAAATAAACAATAAATTCTCTGTATATAATTATTATTGTAGGTGTATAATGTTAATAAGATTCATTCATTCATTCATTCATTCATTTTCCATTCCCGCTTATTCCCTTTCGGGGTCACGGGGGTCTGCCGGTGCCTATCTCCGGCACACATTGGGCGAGAGGCGGGGGTACACCCTGGACAGTTCGCCAGTCCATCGCAGGGCAACATTCACACACACACATGCACACCTAAGGGGTATTTTAGATTAGTCAATTAACCTAACCGCATGTTTTTGGGATTGTGGGGGAAACCGGAGTACCCGGAGGAAACCCACGCAAGCACAGGGAGAACATGCAAACTCCTTTGCACCGGCGAGCCTTGAACCGACAACCTTCTACCTGGAAGGCCACAGTGCTACCCACTGCGCCACTGTGCTGCCCCATGTTAATAAGAAATATGCCAAATTGTTAAATATACTTTGGCCTTAAACAAGGAAACTTCAGAATTCAGAAATGGCAGCACATCACTGGATGAAAGGGGCAATGGTCTATCTGGAGCCTTCTGCAAAAACCTTGATTAAATGTAAACAGGTCGCTGGTGAAGGTGGTAATCTTTACCAGCCACTCAAAACTGTCAAACTCTGCTAACCAGTTGTTGATAAAGACAGTTCCTGAGGAAAAATTAAAAATTGGCTATTTTAGTACTAATTCTCTCTGATTTGGAATATGCGATTTTTTTTAAACCAGGTTTAAAATACGAGACCTCTTTGCCCCTTTCATCCAGTGATGTGCTGACATTTCTGAATTCTAGAGTTTCCCACTCACCCAACCACTAACTATCAGTGGGGAAAAAGGTTTTGTGGTATCATTTATATTTTTAGAAAAAATGTGTAAACTTATGAGCACAACTGTACTTTTGTTTACTACGTAATTCCTTATGTGTTCCTTCATAGTTTTTACTACATTTTGATGAAAACTAGCAAATGCTTATGCACATAGACTGCGCAACTGCTGCGCATCGCTCACCTTCTCGCCTCGTGTGCGCATGACACAGTGCTACGTCATCTACGCGCCAATCCGGTCATTCGTAGTTTTTACTTGGAACTATTTTTATCCTGATCCAGAGCTTTGACTTGTCACAGTTATAAGACGCGGTCAAACATTATCAATTTATTCGGTACAATGCATTCAGGTTTGAAGTCCAAGACCTTCCCGAAATCCAGCGCTCAGACAACGATCAGCAGGTTCTTCACAAATGCAAGCGATCGGTCTCAAGCTCCAGCAACTGATCAGAATGTGATTAACTGCCGGGGCAAGCAGCACAAGTCTGTAGCAAAGGTTACTACGTGGTTGCGCACCGCACACTTAATCAGACCCAATCAGAATAGACATATCCCCAATTTCACATCAACTGCTTGCACTGAGATTTTAACATGTGCGGTTTCAGAAAAGGGGGTCAGATGGGACAGTCTCTGCAAGGAAGCGACCAAAACTCCTCGAAAGTGCGAAAGAAGAAGAGGAAAGAAGTGAAGACAGGGATGAGGACCTCATAACGGCCCACAGCACCAGTAAGACCCATTTACCTCTATAGAGGTGTAATTTACAATAATTAAGATTTAAATAAATTGAAATGTGAATGCATATAAGAACACTTTCCAACAATGTTGGTGTTCATTTTTTATGTTCTTCAATAAACAATGTTTGGATGTGAACGCCCTTCAAAAAAGAAGCAATTCTTCTAGCGTGCCTGGTAAATAAGATAGTTCCAATATCTTGGAGAACGAACCACAGTTCTGTGGATGGAAGGTTAGGATTTCTTAAATCTTTCTGTCTCTTCTTGTAATCACAGACACACTCAATGATGTTTAGATCAGTCTTTTTGGTCATTGTCCTGCTGCATAAATAGTATACTGGTCGAGCATACGGCTCCTTGGTGGTATTGCATGATGAGTAAGCATCTGCTTGTATTTCTCTATATTGAGAACATTATTAACAAATCTCCAACTCTATTTGCAGAAATGGTGCAAATAGAGGGACATCACTAGGGACTGCCAGTTACTGCCAGGGACATCACTAGGGTTGACAGATAGGGGGGGCTTATCCCCTGGAGGGCTTCTCGTACATTGCATGCGGTGAAAATGAAATAGAATAGAATAGAATTTACTTTATTAATCCCTTTGGGAGAACTTTTTGGGAACTAGTACTAATGACACTAAATTTCACTCGCGGTAATTGGGAATAGATACTAACATTATGTGTACTTCAGAGATTCGACAGGATATTAGACAGCTAATAAAAGATTTTTCACGATGTTAGCATTTTAGACGACGTTCGCTTTAGCTTCCAACATTAAGGTTGAAATAGACTAGGCTACAATATCGTCCTTCCTTCTCTTACCACAGGTAAATGTTCAGATTAAGCAACGATCGCTGCAATCAACGTGCAATCGCTGACCGTGTGTACACCGTGTGTTCACTGCTGCTGCCTCCACACTGTTGTGTTGGTCCAGCTGCTTATGCAGCCGCCTACCACGTCACGCTTGACACATGCTAATGAGGCATGATCATAACAATAATAATTTTGAAAGCGAACTTCAGTTTAACTCGCTTTCTTGCTGGCTCGTGTTCGCTGCATGTATGCACTTATTTAGAATATATTTTAAATATCAAGATAATAAATAAAATGTCGCCCCAAATTATAGGGGGGGCTTTGGGATATTTTAGGGAGGCTGAAGCCCCCCTAAATTAGGGCTAACGACGTCACTGGTTACTGCGATTTTCAAAGGGTCATTAGCTTGACATGTCATGTCACGTTTCTTTGCACTTCTTCAGCCTTAATGCCACATCTTAAAACCCCAGACTGCTTTGAAATCTTTGTTTGGGAGTGACTTTGTTGATGCAGTAAAACTACCTTGTATGTGGTTGCTGTGCTCCATCTTGCCATATGACTGTCTTTCTCAACAAGCAGTTTTGAGTGGCTGATAAAGATTACGTTCCTAACTTGTTTGCTTTTAATCAATGTTTTTGCAGAAGGCTCCTGATAGAGTTTCACACTCACCCAACCACTAACTATGAGTTAGTGGTTGGGTGAAAAGGAGAAATAGTCATAAAAATAAAGAAAAACATATTATAAAACATATAAGCCAGAGTATATTTAGCAATGTGGTGGTTCATTTCTACAGCTATTTGTTGCGAGTGATCCACTGCAGACAAAGCACACTTCTCCATTGGAAGGTTTTGTAAGATGAGATCTCTTTTGCATATATAACAAAGCATGTTCATCAAAGATGTTAAAATAAAAAAAAAATAAAAAAATGTTTAGCTTTTCTTCATTTTGTGCTGTAGGTAAGGTGTCTTCCTCTAGAGCCAGCATCAGCCATGTCACTCTGTCAAGGCTTAAAGACTTCAGCTGCCCAAGAAGCGCAGACAGTTCAGTCCTTCTTCGGGCTGGACAGATGGAGGTGGAGCTTTCAGAAAGTTCTTCTCAAAATGTGGAGATAAAGTCCTGCTTGTTTGAAAATGTTGAAGGAGCAATCAAGGAGCAGACTAATACATCTAAACAGGTTTGTTTACATGAGTTTAATATCAAAGTCTTTTCCCTAAGATCACTATCTGCCAAAGAATTGGTCACATATAAGAACTGATGGAACAAAAAATGCAGCATTAAAGTTTAGAAGTCAAGAAGGAATCAATTATTTAAAAAAAGTTTTTTTATTGATTGCTTCTCCAGAGAACAGTCTACATTTAATTGTTTTTGATGGCTTTTCTGCGGCTCAGTCAGTAGAGCATTACATTAACAACACAAAGGCTGTGGGTTCAAACCCCAGGGAAAGCAAGAACCAATGAAATGTGTTCATTCCTTGAAATGTAAGTCACTTTGGATAAAAGTACATAAATGATGTAGTAAGGTAGAAATACCTCCATCCGTGCCAGGACTCTATCTCCAATCCGTGTGCCGTCTGACGTCATACAGCACTCCCTGGTCCTGGCTCTCCACTCTGCCAAGACAATGGTAGAAGGCACAGAAACTTTGATCATTATTACACCAAAAACCCTTGAAATCTGTTTTAAATCAAGTGAAGACTGTGTAGATTGGCAAAAATGTATCATAATAAAGGTGTCATTCATATTCCTGCTTTAAATACAAAACTTCTAAGGTTATTGAAAGTTATAAATAACCAATAATGTGCCATTGCAAAAGTTAGAGAAGTCCTGTTTATAAAGTGGAACCTTCTTTGCAGAAAACAAAAGTTAAAGGTAAGACACATCTAACTTGTGCTACAAAACAACAATCTCCACTTTATAAACCAAATTTTTTAGGAAACCTTGATTTTAACTTTTGCAATGGCATATTATTGGTTGTTTATAACTTCCAATCATCTTAGAAGATTTGCAACAGTGTGCTTAAAACAAGAACGCGAATGTGTAACATGAATATGCAAATTTTGGCCAATCAAAAAGCAGAGTCACCCCCCCCCCTTTTTTTTTAAACTGGCTAGCACAAACGAAGCACGAAGAGGGTTCCCATGTAGTACCTTTTAGGCAGTGCAGGACGAGGTTAAAAGGAAAAAAAATGTTTATATAAATGTTGAAGTATTCATGTAATACAGGGGGAAAAATCAGGTTCAAATAATGTACTATACCAAAACAATAATTTCATACTGGTGATATAAAAATTCTGTGTGTGCCCTTAATGTTTCTTTAAAGTACTGTACATGCATTTCTGCCTTAAATTCAGACAGGGATGTAAGATTTTACTATGGTTAAAATAAATTAAACCATTTTAGAATAATCATAATGGTAAAATTCACCCATTCATTCATTTATTGTTGTTTCCAGGAGTTCTCGCTTGGTCATTTCACTAAAAATCCGGGTACCAGGAACTGTTCTGAAGAGCTTGAAGTTCACAACAGGAGAACCAAGAGCATGTACACTCCTCTAGAGGAACAGTACATGGAGATCAAGAAGGAGCATATGGACACTGTGCTCTGTGTAGAGTGTGGCTACAAGTACAGGTTCTTCGGCGAGGATGCAGAGGTAAGGGCTAGAGAAGCACACACTGGGAAAAGTATTACCTTTATGTCCTATTTGAGCTGGAATAGGCTTCAGAAGGCCAGAAAATGCCTGGTCAGTAAATAAAGTTTTCTCTTGATCTCCTTCTGTCTTGTATAGATTGCGGCAAAGGAACTGAATATCACGTGCCATTTGGACCATAACTTCATGACAGCCAGCATTCCAAGTCATCGCCTGTTTGTCCATGTTCGGCGGCTCGTCTCACAGGGCCACAAGGTCACTGTCTTCTTTGTGACAAACAATCTGCACATGATGTACTTGGTTGTGAAGTGCTTATCCTCATATTATCTTCCATTTAATAATGCACGTTATCGTCAATGCATTTGGTCAATTGGATTAACTTAAAAGTGATTTCATGACTGTTTTCTTGACTGTAGGTGGGTGTAGTGAAACAGATGGAAACTACAGCCATCAAGGCATCCAGCTCCAATAAGAATTCACTCTTCACACGGCAGCTTCATGCTTTATATACAAAGTCAACGCTTGTGGGTGAAGGTAGAAATTCCATTGATTCATTGTTGATATGGCAGGCCTGTTATCAGATGCAGTAGGTAAACATGCTTTCCATGTTCCCTCTCTATATGTATTCCCTGGACTCCTCCCCCCCCATAAAAAACAACAACAACATATTTAATAGTTCTCAATATCAGCAATTAAATGAGCAGGATTCTGCCACCCAGTGATGGTTTTGTAACATTCTGATTTAAACTGCTCCTTATTTTAGTGTTGTCATCAGGCCAGAACTGTGTGATTATAGCTTTTAACCGTCTTAATTAAATATTTGAATGAGAATTTGTCGATTGTTAATATCTTAATAAGATTTGAATTGAATGAATTGCATTAAAAGATATTTGAATTAAGTTCGGCCTTTCCAAAAGGCAAATGAGAGAAATCCAACACTTTTGCTAAAATGGCTCGCCATATTCTTGATCTTGATGCCTTATCCTGACTCTTGACAGCTATTCCCAAGAACTTGCATTAAGAAGGTAATTTTTTGAGCGAAGTCTTGTGTGTTCATTACAGCTGCATTTTTGTTCTGTTTTCATTTATATCGAAAGACTCATTACATTGGCTTGTTTACAGATGTGAATCCTCTCCTAAAGCTGGAAGATCTTGAGCAGGCTGAAGATGGGATGCAGGATGGCGAGAACAACTATCTGATGTGTTTGAATGAGAGCTTTGATAAACAGAGCAAGGAGCTGACCATTGGCATGGTGGTAAATATCTGGTGGAGCTTTGGTTTAGTTCTTTTTACCCAAAGCATTGTTCCTCATTGTTGTTTTCATCTGTTCTGATGCAGGTGGTGCAGCCAAGCATTGGTGATGTAATGGTGGACTGCTTTAAGGATAAATTATCTTATTCTGAGCTGGAGTCCAGGATACTGCGAATCCAGCCTGTTGAGATCCTTGTGCCTTCAGATCTTTCAGAAACGACTGAGAGGGTGCTGCGTAACATCTCTCTATCCAGGTAAATGTTATTGGCGCAGGTTTATTTGGTGCTGTAAACTGGTGGTTGATCATGATTGTAAACCTTCGATTAATTGTCATCACTTAGGTGATGAAATATATTTCAGATATTGAACTTTTATAGTAATTAAAGTATATTTTTATTTAAGTGAATCCTTTGATTCAATCATACTTTTTACACACAAAATGCTGGTTAGTCCTAGAGGGCTTGCCACTCCTTTGCTGGAGCACATTGAGGGACTGGCAACCTTCCGACTAAAAGACACCATTGCTATGCACTGCACCACTGTGCTGCTCAATTTCTAACATTATTGTTTTTAAACATCTGTGTTGAAAAAGTATTTTGAATCTTTCTGATGTTACATCACAACCAAGATGATTCAAACTCTTTAAATGAAGTTGCTGACAGACATTTGGTTTCTTCTGCTGATGCTGAGGAAGATACATACAGCACACACGTCTGCTGGCTCTCTCAAGATCTTCCCCTGCCCCCTTTCCTCCTTTTTCTCTCTCTTTCTCTAAATGCAGTTTTGTTAGCTGTTAGCATCTTCAGTGTTTTAAAGCTAATTAAAGCTGTGTGTTTTGTTATACCTTCTTAAACCGTATGTCCAGAGTCGTCTATAATGGGTTATGATTAACAATTATTTACAGAAGCTCACCCCTTTAGATTGGCCTGCAGTTGTTTGCAAAATAGAACGTTAATTGTGAGCATAAGCTTTTTTTGTGATCTAACTACAGAACACAAACTGAAGAGCGCAGAACAAAATTATTTATTTCATAATTATTTTATCATATTGATTATGAAACAAACAAACCAGAAGCTATATGCAGGCTCTATTTGTGTCAAACATTGTTTTCACACACAAAAAAATAAAAAATTTATTCTTAAATCTGACCCAAAGAGAAACATGTACTTTTTTTTACGCAGACAGAGGGTCTCTGGTTTATTTCAGCCTTCACTTTTCATAAAAAAGAATAAAAAAAAGAAAAATCAATTTACTTTCTCCACTGACTCCCCATTGCAGCATGTACCAAGAACTCTTGCAGGTCTACATCCCATCCAGATATCTAGTGGAATTCTCTCCCAGTCCCAATATGAAAAGCAAAGTCCGTCACAACTTTTAAAGGGCGACTAAAAATTCTTCCAAACATTGAAATGAGCTCATTGAATCCTAAAGATCCAGCAAGAAGCTTTCAGTTTCAAGAGGTATCCATTGGTTATTGAAAAGATCAGAAATTTTGTTACTGGAAATCAATATTTGTTTTTACTATTAATTAAGAACTGAAAGTTGTGACCTGTTATCTTTAAGAAATAAACTTTTGATCTGTGATGACTTGTCCTTTTGGTGAAATCAACTTATAAAAAAAAGTCACTAGAAGATCTTTGGTAAATTTCAATCCTACTCTGGTTGGGGATTTTGCTAGAACTAATGAAAAGGATTGATTGCAGTAATTAAAGACAGTAGAATATTTTTTATCAGGTTAAAAATGCTACATTTAAATGAAACAGTGTCCGTTTGCTTTCCAAAGATTAGCCGACAGCAATTTTAACCACCAGATGTCAGTAAGTTACTTCACAGGCTTTTGAAAAACCTGCATTTAGTTTTCTTTTATATCACAAATCCCAAACTCAGTTCCTTCTGATCTTGCTCAGTTTAGCTTCAACTGTAATTATAGAGTTACTCGTGTTATTGCTTTTAAGATTTTCAAACGTGTTAGAAAACTGAAGGATTTTAGTTGTGATGAAGTTGTGAATTTCTATACTGTTTTATAAAGTGATTGTACCTTCCCTTCTACAGCAGGATGCCTCAAATTGAACAGAATCTCTTGTTTGTGTGCTGCAAGGCCAGCATTATCTCCATCTTAAGTTTGACTTGAAATCTTTTTAATCTTTCCTGATTGTTGTCCAATGCCTGCAGTTATGTGTGCGGATGCTATCCATTAGGATCTAGCTTGAAACGGCAGGTCATTCAGTTGTCTTTTACACAGAAAAAGCATCACTGTTGTTGTTTTGCTGTGAAAAAAACGTTGAAGGGAACTCAACGGAGGATTTTATAATCCTTATTATCCAGTTGGGCTTCGCTAGAAAACCTTTATATCATCACATCTTTTCTTAAAGGTACATATTGCTAGTTGTTGTAATTAATAATATGATGCGTAGTTACATCACATGACTGTGATGAGAAAATATTGTCAGGCTTGCTGGATTTTATTTATTTTAAGCCGAATTCTAAATAATTTTTAAGATTACGTTTACAAGAGAACACAACTGCTTTGAGATCTACCATAAAATGCAAGTGGAGATTTTCAGATTTTGAAAGATTTTGAAGATTTTGAACTTTACAGTTTTTTTTATTTATTTATCAGTTGTACAATTAATTTTTTCTTGGGTGCCAAACTGTGCTTTTAGTTGCTTTTAGTAATGACTTGTTGATGGAATGAGGCAAGGTCTGTTAATGAACATCCTTTAGTTACTGGGAATAGTTCTAAATACAGACGCGTGATATTTCATTCTGTTCCTATAATGGCTTTGGATTTGTTTGCCCATTCTTATTCCTTTGGTAGTTTTTATTTATTTATTTTTAAACATTTACAGTGGACACTCCATGTTCTTTTAGAACTGGTCTGAACCGAGATGCTTTTGTCATGACATGAGCATTTCTCATGTCACTGGGCTCAGAATCCCAGCACAGAGTCTGGTCCTTTGTTGCTAAAAAAAAAAAAAAAAAAACAGAATGACAAAAAATGATCTTGGTCTTATTTTACCTTTGTTTGCAAAATATAAGAGTTCACTCTCTTTCAGGAACTATTCAAACAAGTTAAATTCAAGTTAAAACAAAATTCGAAATATTTTTTAGATCACATATAAAAGGATGATCATACTAGTTTTAGGTTTTTCGATGGTAAAATAAAACCAATTAAAAATGAACCTGAGGTGCCACCAAGAGCCTCTCTTGTCCAGATGTTGTCCACTAAATCTTCAGCAGGTTTTTGGGAATGACTATTTTGTTTTTATATTCGCTGATGCACAAAATCATCGCTTAGCTTCAGAAATATTTATATGGATATTTGAGGTACAGCTGAAAATCTGAAATGTTGTGGAAGAGCCCAGCAAAGTAATTCCTGGAGGGCCGGTGTCCCTCCTGGGTTTTGTTCCACCCCTGCTTCAGAACAAACACTGGCAGCTTTAAACAAACCAGGGAGAGCTTTATTAGTTGAATCAGGTGTGTTTCATGAAGGTTGCAACTTAACTGTGCAGGGCTGAGGCCATCCTTGCCCACCTCTGGCTCAGACGCTCCCGATTTCAAAAGCTTAAGAACACAGGGACATCCAGTGTAGCTGCTACTCTGAAATTAAATTATTAATGTCAAATAATTAACACTATAAATATGAATGAACTGTATACAATATTTAAAATACCTCGATCGAGCTCATATCTGTCGCCACTCATCCCACACATCACTGTCAGGTTACTAATTTAAATGTGTAAGTGTAAGCCATTTCAAAGTTTAAAGGAGCTTAAATATTGCCCGGTCCTCACTCTATTCATTTTAAACAATTGTTTAGGTGTATATAGAGACAAAGAGGTGGAATACATGTTACGTTGGTACCAGAACAGATCAACACATGCCTCACCAATGAGGTTGAACAGCATTTGGCTTTTTATGAGCCTCAAAACACTTTATAAAGAGCTGTGAGAGCTTTCAGAGCCGAAGCAAGTACAACCTCTGTTTTTGGGTAGCAAAGTGGGGTAACTCTAAGTTAACTTTATTTCAAAGAGTTTTTATTATGATGATATTGCTGAATACACTTGGGCCACGCAAACCTATTTACAATTTGCAGTATATACAGAACAAAAAAAAATGTAAGGTACAGCAGATATATACCATCATACCGCCTAGTTAACAAGTCTTGGAAATTCTAGCTGTTTACTTGAGCTGTTGTGAAAGGAGCACAGCAGCTTGTGGGGCACTTTTTATGCAGATGCGTCACAGAAGAAGCCTAATGTAGATTAGTTTTAGAATTTACATTTATGCATTTTGCTATTATCCATACCGACTTACATTTGAAGAATTAAAGAATGAACATTTTTTTTGTCAGTTCTTGCTTTCCCTGAGATTTGAATCCACAACCATTGCATTTTGACGCAACGCTCTACCAACTGAGCCACAGGAAAGCTGTGTTTTAATTGTGTTCTTTTAGATTTGCAATGATTTTGTCAGTTTAGCAGATAAAACACTAGTAAGCTGCATTTCTGCATTTAAGCTGTCATTTTAAAAAACCGTGACCCTGGAAATAACCACATTTTTATATTCTAAACAAACCAAATAATTTTTTTTAATTTAAATATTTTTTATTTTTCCACTTTGCTTTGTATCTGAGAGAAACACAGACCAATACATTTTGACAGAAAAGCTTGCACTATTAGCTATAGGCTTTGTTCTGAAGTTCTCTGAGGTCTAATAGCGCGGGAAGCCCCGTAGCAACAGTTGCTGAGGAATTTCTGTGCTGTGGGTTAATGAGCTTCTCCAGGGGATTGCAGGAGGTGTGTTGAAGGTGGCACTACCATCAATTTATCCCAGCGTGCACTGCTAACATGAAATGGATTCTCAATGATCCTCTCTGCTTTTGCAAAGATCTTCAATTTGTTCGGTGCATAACACAATCCTGCAGCTTCACAGGGAGTTTTTCTATGTTTTGAAACACAATAATTACGAATAGTTCATTGTTTTTCTTGGATCTAAGCTGTCTAGCTTTTCAGGAAAATCTCAAACTACTTCAACTATAAATGAATAACTAAATGTAGAACAATACAGAAAAAAACCCTGCAAAGAAGAGAAATGCAAACTTCTATAATCTTAAGATCTCTTCAGGGATGAAAAAAAAATATAATCAGTTAGTAAAATGACCCAAATGTATTGCAAGTATCTGACTGTAGCTGTTAGCTGTAAACTTTAAAATTGATTGCGTAACTGATGAGATGGACAATCAACTAACCAATGTGATCCTAAAAGAAGCGTACCAATAACTTGCTGCAGATTTTAGAGACTACAAATAATACAGACATTGTTGTCAATGACCTTATTACTTTCCCTTTCCACACCATTCTAAAGATACATTATATTCTCTCTGCTAATCAGCCTTCAGGCAATTTTGAGTTTATAAAGCTTTATGTGCAACTGTTTTATTTATTTACACATTTTGTTTTGTGGCAAGATTTGGAGTTTCTTCCTGAAGAGGAATACATTACTCAGATTAATTTTCCCCACTAATTTATAGGGAAAAGACATTCATTAACAGCCTTTTAGTGACATTTCTGGTCTCTAGAGATATATACATTGATTGATCATTTTGATCAAAGGTCCTTCTAAAAAAATTGCATGTTGTGATAAAGATCCTTATTTTCAGTTATGCACCCAATACTTGGTCGGGAATCCTTTTGCAGAAATTACTGCTTCACTGCGGCGTGGCATGGAGGCAATTAGCCTGTGGCACTGCTGAGGTGTTATGGAGGCCCAGGATGCTTCCATAGAGGCCGTAAGCTCATCCAGAGCGTTGGGTCGTGCGTCTCTCAACTTTCTCTTCACAATATCTCACAGATCCTCTATGGGGTTCAGGTCAGGAGTGTTGGCAGGCTAATTGAGCACCAGCAATACCATGGTCAGTAAACCATTTACCAGTGGTTTTGGCACTGTGATCAGGTGCCAGGTCATGCTGAAAAATTAAATCTTCATCTCCATCAAGCTTACCACCAGATGGAACCACAAAGTGCTTCAAAATAGCTAGCTCATTGACCCTGCCCTTGATTAAACACAGTGGACCAACACCAGCAGCTGACATGACACCCCAGACCATCATTGACTGTGGGTACTTGACACTGGACTTCAGGCATTTTGGCATTTCCCTCTCCCCAGTCTTCCTCCAGACTCTGGGACCTTGATTTCCGAATGACATGCAAAATTTGAGCAACAGTCCAGTGCTGGTTCTCTCTAGCCCAGGTCAGGCATTTCTGCCACTGTTTCTGGTTCAAAAGTCCATTCCCTGCGCACGCATGTAAACGGTGACTCCGGATGTTTCTACTCCAGACTCAGTCCACTGCTTCCGCAGGTCCTCCAATGTCTGCGATCGGTCCTTCTCCACAATCTTCCTGAGGGTCCAGTCACCTCTTCTCGTTGTGCAGCGTTTTCTGGCACACTTTTTCCTTCTCACTGAGGTGCCTTGATACAGCACTCTTGGAACAGCCTATTCTTATAATGGCCATTGAGAAGGAATGAGAAAGGGCACCAAAAATATCACACACAGTACAAATTGTAGGGAAAAGGAGGTTTGGTTATAGTAATAGCTTAAAATGTTTTATGACATCACAGACCAAACCGTTGCAACCAGACTGTTTACCCTAGCAACCAAATTCTCAGAACTTTATCTTTGCTTTGGAAAGTAGTTTATGTATGTTGATTTTATTTATGCAGTGTACAGTTAAAAAGGAAACCTTATATTTTCACTGACCATTCCATAGCAACTAGACTGTTCACCCTAGCAACCAATTTGGCATATCTCTCTAAGCTTGTGAAGTCATATATGGGGGGTTGGTCCATTTTACTCATATTGACATAAGGAATATTATTTTGTTACTGGGCACGGTGGCGCAGTGGGTAGCACTGTGGCCTTCCAGTTAGAAGGTTGTCGGTTCGAGGCTCGGCGGTGTGAATGTGTTAGAGAATGTTGCCCTATGATGGACTGGCGACTAGGTGTATCCCCGCCTCTCGCCCAATGTGTGCTGGAGATAGGCACCGGCAGGCCCCTGTGACCCCGAAGGGAATAAGCGGGTTTGAAAATGAATGAATATTGTCACTGACCCTCCATAGCAACCAGACTGTTTACCATAGCAACCAATTCGGTAACTCTTTATCTCATCCTATAAATCATAAAGACATGGCGGTTGGCTAATGCATCATTAAAGGGTTTGGCAGTAGTACAACCCAACATCAAAGTTAGCGACCTAGCTGGAGGAACTTCGCATATTCATCTATAATTTTGCTTCAGTCTACAGGACTTCTTAACTATCTACGCAGGTCAGAGTGACCAAACCTATTGTAAAAATGTAATGGACACAGCTGTAATAACCAACAGACCATTAATGAAAGAGACAGTAAAAAAAAGTCCTCCTATTGTGTTCATTGAAAATAAACTCTATCCTCTATTACTTCACTTCAGGATTTTGTTGTAAGCAGTCTAGATCTGAGTCACCACTCCCTAACATGAATATCTCTTGTTTTATTTCTATCTCTGAAATGTTTTTTTAAGTAGTTTTACTTACAGTAAAATGCAGTACTTATGTCAATGATTGTTTATAGTTCTAAATCTGTAGCTTCTAATTGTAACATTTGCACACTGGCTCTCTGTCGAACAATTAACAGCTTTTCAGTTTCTCAGTCTTAAAAAGAATGACTTTAGAAATTAATAAAAATTTGCTAAATTATGCCTTACAAATTTGAATACTGTATGGCATATGCTGTTTATAAATGAGTTTAAACAATTTACAACAATGAAAAACATTATATTCAAAAAAATTCCCCAGAAAAAATAATAGGGATTATATAAATTAAATTTTCTTTATTTTAACCTTGTAGTTCCATGTCTGTAGTCGTACGATATTTCTTTTTTTTTTTTTTTACATTCAGTGGTGTTCCAGGGTTTTTTTCACTTGGTGACACAAGGAAATACATTCCCAGTGGTACAACACTCTTTCAACTGAATTGTTGCTCTTCATTTCGTCGCTCATTAAGACAGTTGGGTGATGATAAATCTGGAAAACATGCACACTTGCATAGGCCACATATGTTCGTTGGTTGCCCTAGCAACAGCTCGGAGGTACAAAGAGAAGCTGCGTCCTTGAGAACTCTGTAGTGGTGAATGGTGAGGAAACAGGAGTGAATGGACTGGCATAAAGCACATGTGTGTTTGAGACTAATATGCACCTTATAGCATTATACACACTCTGAAGCCACTTGAGTTGAATGTTGCGGGGAGTAACAAAAGCAGAACACGCTGCATATCTTCATTGATTCCCTTATGTAGCAAGAATGATGAGTAACCTTCATTTAGTTGAGTCAAAACCACAGGGAACATATGTTTCAGTCCAAATCAAAGGGGGGGGGGGGTTATCAAAGGTCCACTCCACTAAAAATGTGTCTTCTTCTTTATTAACATATAACGAAAAGACTGATATCCACTGTGATTGTAGATGCAAGCAGTGGCTTCAGTTCTGGAAGATCTTCTGGAAAACTGCTGCCAGTATTTTTTGAGCTCATTTAAAATATTGGAATAAAATAATGATTTTAATATTAAATCACTCATTCATTCATTCATTATCCCTTTGGGCAAGAGGCGGTTAGCCAAAACACACAATCACTCACGCATTCACACCTAAGGGGAATTTAGATGATCCAATTAAGCTGATGCATGTTTTTTGGGATTGTGGGGATAACTGTAGTACCCGGAAGAAACTCACACAAGCACGGGGACAACATGCATGACCACAACTTATTAATGGCACAGCAGATTTAACCAAGGTGATTGCCATCTTAATGCATTTGTGTATTGGAGCTTTTAGGGCAATGCATGTTGAGGTGAACATTGGCTCAAAGAATCTCCTGCCTTTAAACAAAGTGGTCTACGAATGGAATGTACTGTCAATCCAGTCAAACTTTGTCTGCAAGTCATCAAAAGATCACTTTGTTATACTCCAGTTGTCATGAACCATCCTTTTATTTGTGTAATCTCTGTTAGTATCCATGCAGATGACCGGATTCGCATTGAGAAACGTGAAAGCACCATGTTTGAATTTCAAACTGCCCTGAGAATAATCAAGGACTTCTACAGAGACACGGCTTATCATCCCTCTGGGGAAAACCAGGAGAAGGGTAAATGCTTTTACCTGTGATCCTTGTCTCTTTCTTTGTCTGACCTCTAAAGTGTGTGATTCATTCTGGATGGAGATGTCTGTCTAGAGTAGACAGATGAGAGGTCAGCATATTTAATCGAAAAACCCTTCAATTAAAGAAGGTCCTCTGGGCTGAGCATGTTTTTCTGCCAATTCTGAGACAATAAATCAGCTTTTTGACTGAATTCTTTGATGCGTAGGAACTCGCTCGCAATCTGAAGTTCTCACTGATCTG